ATGATAGTTAGGTTAAAGAACATAAGATGAACACCAACATCATAGGAACACCCACATAATGCATCATCATGACATCTACAACTATCATAAGAGGAACGAGAAAGTTTGAAGTTGCCAGAAAACAATATCGAAACGGGGGGGGGGGGGGGGGTTTATTTTTTAGTTCATATTTTCATTCCTAGAAAATTAACAACTTTATTTCTTTTGTTTATAATAAAAAAATCTGTTATGTTTATAAAAGATTTGTTAACAATAATATACATTAGTTCAAATATAATCTTCAGAAAAGTCTCACTATTTTTATTATTAATTAAAAATAACGCAATCTTCAAATAAGTCTTATTTTTTTGACCAAATTAACGAAAAAAGAAAGAATACCGGAGATATTTACAAAACCAGCCAAAAAAAGTTTTTTTGAAGTTTTAGCAAGTAATTTGTTATTTTTTTTGTAAACAAAATTCAATTCGATATTAAACCGCAAAAATATAAAACAATATATATATATATATATATATATATATATATATATAGTAGGTTATAACCCGTGGAAACCACGGGAGGTACAATTAAAAATTTTAGACAAAAAGAAAATTAATAATTGTTTCCCTTAAAAAAAAGTAATTTTATGTGGAAGATCAGAAAAAGGTAGTAGACTTTGGGTGTGGATTGTGTCTTGCAATAAATAGGGTGCTAATTTCATAAGCGGGTCCCTCATGAAGAGTTTTTTAAAACTTATAAAATAAGTCTTTAAAACATAGCTTGAATTATAGATCCCTAAAAAAAGTATAAAATACAGCATTAGCAATTAATAAAGAAAACATATATTAAAAAAATATTATTAAAATAAAAATATACCTGTTCATCCAAGAAAACCATTTCGATTGACTATTTTTCGTTAGCATCAAATTTAGAATCGAGTGTCCACAACTTCAATATTTTTACTTTGATTGTGAAATGAGATATAACTGGGTCAATGTCTTTTATAATGTAATATTTGAAGTAGCCATATTGCTGTAAAAAAATTAGAAAAGTAAATCTTTAGTAAACCAGCATCCCAAATTATTGAAAAAGATACACAGTAATGATATTTAGTGAATTTGAAACGAAAACTGATACATAATAACGATGTACCCCTGTGAAAAATATTGAAAAAGAAATGAGGAATTAGATTCACTTCATAATGTTGTAGGATGTAGTTCCTAAATATCATTGTTGTTGAATTAGCTATAGCTGCATAAGAAAGCATTCTTCTATAACTATGTAGTACATTAATGTGCTCGAGTTAATGGGTGTTTCTTTTTGACATGATGTTTAATGTAGAAAAATTGAGAATCGGAATCAGAAATGAGAATATGCATTTCTATATATTTAAAATCAGAAATGGAATATGCTTTTTATAGCCCTTTCTAATTCAAATATCATAACTTTATCATGCAGCATAGTACTAAATCACATTTTCTGATTGATGTTCTATACTTTAATACCGACACCTGATATTTTGCACTTTCTTGTGTCAGTTGATGAGAATCCATTTTAGGAATCCACAGAGGGGTTGGACTCGATAGAAAGTAAGTAATAACTCTTAAATATCTTTTATTTTTCATGACTTGCATGAAGAAATACTATTGTACTTTTTTTTTGCCTTAATGGAAATAATGGGTGACTTAATCCAGTAAACTATAGTATAAATGAGTGTTCTTTTTGACTTAAAGCAGAAAAATCGACTTAACTTAAAAAATTAGGAAAATGAGGCTTTCCGCCATTAAGTCCTAACTTTTTGACAAATTTTCCTCATACATTATTTTTCAATATCATTTTTATCTTTATTCGTTTGAAATTCCAGTAATTTAACAACAAAGTTACTAAGACACAATAAAAAGACCAAAATGCCTTTTTCCCTGATTTCCCACGTTTTTTCAATAATTTGTACAAACATAGCAACTCAGGTGCAAAGTGAAAATGGTTAAAGCAATTAAGAAGTTATATGAAGTTACAAAGACCAAAATAAGATTGTTCATAATAAATGTACGAAAATACCCTTTTCCTAAATTTCCAAAACAATTTTTTTAATAGCGTGAAAGAAAACGATTTTACTCTTTTATTTAAACGGAATCATTTACCACTTAGTTAATATGCACTTTAAGGTGATATAAATACAATCATACTTCATACAGAAGTCATGGTGTTGGTTTTGTTCATAAAAGAATGGATTTTTACTAAATTTGAAACGAATACAGATACACAATAACAATTTACCCTTGTGAAAAATATTGAAAGTAGCATGTTTATTTGTTTGAAATTCCAGTAATTTAACAACAAAGTTATCGAGACACAATAAAAAGACCAAAATGCCCTTTTACCAGATTTCCCACGTATTTTCAATAATCTGTACAAACATAGCCAAGTCAGGTGTAAAGTGAAAATGGTAAAGCAATTAAGAAGTCATATGTAGTTACAAAGACGAAAATAACAATGTTTCATAATATATGGACAAAAATGCCCTTTTCCTAAATTTCCAAAATATTTTTTTTAACAGCAGGAAAGAAAACCATTTCTCTTTTATTGAAACGAAATCATTTACCACTTAGCTAATATGCACTCTATGATGATATAAATCCAATCATACTTCATACAGAAGTCATGGTGTTGGTTTTGTTCATAAAAAATGGATCGAACAATCCACTTTGAAAAATATATTTATCAAGAAATTGAAGAAGAATATTAACTGACTGAAGTGGGATGCGTTTTAATAAGCAGATAAGAATATTTGCTTTTTTTTTTACTGATTTTACAACAGAAATAGCAACAGATACACATACTCCATATGTATTTTATTATAAAAAAGCATATCTTATTGTGAAATTTTGCAGAAAAATGAATGATGGATTCAGAAGAGATATTTTTAGAAAATTGAAAGTACATTGGAATTAATGTATTTCCAGAAAAATGTTATAAATATTGGTTTATGAAGATGAACTAACCAGATTTGTTATGATGTCACGTCTGCAGAAATCGTATTGTTCAAGATGATAAAGCAAAATAACCTTCGACAATGGGAATGAAAATTAAAGACTTGATACTGATACTGAAATAAAAAGGGAGAGAAAATATTAATTTCAAATTGCTGATTTTTTGAATTGATCTCAAGGCCTCAAATTGCTCAGCAATTTGAATTGAAAGTTCCCTAGATAGAATTCAAGAGCAGTAAAGAAAAATAAGCATAAAATCAATGGAGTTTCCAAACAAAATACCAAATCCAGAAAAACCTTGATGGAAAATGTATGCAGAAAAACCTTGGAGCACCAAACACTATATTGTATTACAATTCGAAATAAAACTTGGAACCTTAAAATGATCACTTACCAATTGAAGGGAAGGTAAGACTGAATGAATACAAATAATTTTTAATTCCAAAGTTCTCCTGGGCATTTTATCGAACACCTACAATGCAATAATAAGGAAGGAAGAAATGCCATATTGTGAGTATCAAAAATTCAAAACAAATTTAACTAAAAGCATATTAGTTCTTAAACCATCAGAATATCAAGATATCTAAGAAGTTGATAGCAAGATATTTGTCGAATGGCCACTAAAGTTAACCTGGAGACAAAACTCGTAAATAGAGCAAAGAAAACAAACCATCAAACATGTTTAACCAATTGATCGAGAATAAGAAGCATGAAGCCTTAAGTTAGTTACATTCATTTGGGTTTCCATCGATGTACTGAGAAAGAAAACAATAATTAAAAATTCATAGATATAACAAACCCTCGATCATAATGTGTTTGTAAATAGATAAATGAAGAAGTTACGCTTCAAGCTTCAAAGATTCTGATCTTGATTGTGGGAAGTGGAGCAGATCAAAAGTGAAATACGAATAAGAGGGGTAGGGGTTTGAAATTTGATAATCCAAATCACTCCTCAATCAACGATTTTGTTGCTGAATTGTCGGATAATAAAATACTTTCTATTTGAAAATCCTAATTTGTAGGGACTAAATAAAAATTAAAGACAAACAAATTAGAGAGAAACTTTTAATAAGAAGATGTCATGTGACAAAACAGAAGTTAGAAAAGTGACATGTGCCATTTAAATGATTCATTTATTAGAGGAGGTATATATATATATATATATATATATATATATATATATATATATATATATATATATATATATATATATATATATATATATTAGGGCTGTGCATGGGTCGGTTTTGGACCCAAACCCAACCCAACCCATAAATGTTCGGTTTCTGGTTTTCAGAACCCAATATGATCGGTTTCTGGTCGGTTCGGTTTCTTGGGTTCTGAGGTCGGTTTGGTCGGTTTTTCGGTTTCTTGGGTTCAACCCATAAACTCACGGGTTCTGGGTTTAAACCCATGGCTTTTGGGTTTTAACCCATTTTCCAAAAATGAAGCAAGAAGTAAAATACTTCAAAAACACCAAATTGAAGTTAAATACTTCAAAAAACATGAGTCTTACAACAAAATAGTCTACTACAAGTTACAACCAAACCCCGAAATAGTCTATTATAACCAAAAAACAATCAAGTATGAGTCGGTTTGTTGGGTTGGATGGGTCGGTTTCTTGGGGCGGTTTGTCGGTTTGAAGTATGGGTCGGTTTCTTGGGTTGGATGGGTCGGTTTCTGGGTAAAAACCGAACCCAAACCCGACTTTTCGGTTTTTAAAAAATTTAAACCCTAACCATCGGTTTTGCTTCGGTTTCGGTTTCGTCGGTTTTAGTCGGTTTCTCGGTTTGTTGGTTTGGGTTTGCTCACCCCTAATATATATATATATATATATATATATATATATATATTTCCTATTACTATTTAGTATTTACCTGGTATATATTCTTTGATGTACGATGTACGGTGGGTTTAATTGGGAACTTAAAAAGAAAAATATTAGTCAATATCCAATGCCATTTTTGTTATTCTCAAACCTAGGTTAATATTTGAAAAAAAAATGTAAATTCAATAATTTGGTATTTGTTCGTGGAAAAAGAGAAGAATTTGGCAACTTGCACTTTCATGGGAAGGTGTGACCGGTCACCGGTGTACTATTAGAGCTCTCTCACCTACCCGCCCTGTCTATGCAAACCGCAAATCCCAAACCAAACCCACCCTTCTTCGACTAGTTCAATTCCAGTCAAGGAGAACCAGGAGCGTCTCACTGGCCGGAGAAAATGGCCTCCCAGAGCAGCATGTTCGTCGTACGCCCAATGGAGTCTCCGGCGACCGTAGCTCCTCGTTTTCCGGTGGCGATCACATTCAATTCGCGCAGCGGAGCAGCGGGTTCCGAAAATGTTTCTAAATTGAGCATTAGAAGAAGTGGTAGAAGAAGTAAGTTAGTTTTGGTGTCTGCACTGGGTGATCGTAGCAGCAGTAGCACCGGCGGCGATGGTAATAGTAATAGCAAGGGCAAGGCGGCATCATCAGTGCCTAGCTCGAATTATGTCGTACCCTTGGACAATCCCGCCTCCTCATGCATCACTCGTCCCCTGGCTGAGATTCTTCGAGACCTCAATAAGCGGATCCCTGATAACATCATCGTTAAATATCCTGATAGTATTCAGGCGGCGTCCATCCCTTGGTACATTTCAATACACTCACTCAAACTCTCTCCAAGCACCAATTTCTGTATCTATCTTTAATCTTCCCCTCTCTTCATTTAATCTGATTTTTTTTTGGTGATCTGAAAATGTCTTATAGGTACCATGCCAACAGGATGTTGAGTTTCTATGCTCCAGGTGCTTTTCTTGAACATTGCATTTCCTTTTTTCAGGAAGATGTGTCACTTTCCCAATTTCAATTCTCATTTATAAAGCTACCTGGTAGGCAATTTTGATGCTAGAAAATTATAATGCCAGGGGAAAGAGGGAAAACATAGGAGTAAATCAGATGTAGATATGGGATCAATTAATGATGTATGACTATGAGGGATCTCCATTAGTTTGCTTCCTAATCTTGAATTTTAAACTATGAACATCAGAACATGAACTTGATATTATGTAATCTTATCCAGGTGTTGATAGGCATCTTAAAAGTGTTCATGGCATAACATAACCACAAGCTTGCATTGTAATCTACTTGAGTTTGTTATTATTGTAGTTTATCTGTTTGATGAACTTGTATTTCCACATGTTTCTTTTGTTACCTAACTTATCTTATAATTATTTATTTTCAGGTTGGTGTGGAGAAATACGTGATGTAATTTTCTCAGATACTGGAAGTGTGACTGTGGTGTATCGCGTCACTGTACGTGCAACTGATGGCGAGGTATACCTAAATCATCAGAATGGCTACATTTATTTATATAATATAATACTACATGTAGACTATTTTGATTTTCCTGTACTGTGTTTGGTATGCATTGGACTAAGATTAAACTTTGGCTTACAATTATTTGCCCCACCCAAAAGGTGGGACATGGACTCACTTTTGATCTGTCGTTTGTGCAAAAGACGTGAATGCCCTTTACAATACATCCTGATGACCCAAAATAGACCTAGAAAGCGTTTGTTGTATTTTACTCATAAGCTTGAATGCATATACTGATACAGGCACACCGTGAATCAACTGGAACTGTGTCTTCCACCCCGAATGGTCAGATTACTGATCCTGTTGCTGCAGCTGAAGAAATAGCTTTTTGCAAAGCATGTGCTCGATTTGGACTCGGGTTATACTTGTACCATGAAGATTAATTAGATGAAGTAAAGAATTTTCATATGAGAGAACTTGAATAATAATATATGGTAAAATGTTTCTTTTTTAAATCAAAAGGGTAGGATATCTGAGTACTTCCCATGCTACTACCTTTCAAGGGGTAAACTATGTTAAAGATGTAATAAATGTTGCTTAAATATGTTTTTTTTTTTTTTTTTTTTGTATAGACAACTTCCCATCTTTTTAATTTTGTGTTGGATGAGAAATGAATTGTAACACCCCAGTTTTCTTTTGGAGGAGTAAGCTTACAAGCAAAGCATATACCCACAAATAGTTCAAAAGCACATATGCAAGTAGCTTACAAGCAACTTACAATCACAGATAGCTTACAAGCATACATTCAAACAAGTTTCATGAATAGGATATGTTATACACATGCTCTTGCCTATAAATAACAAAGATTTGTATTTTACAACATTTGGTGATGTTGGCATGTGTTTTACCATCAATTTCTATGCACCAATATGCATTTCCATGCACTTGAGTCTATATTCATTTTACAAACTTACAAATATTGAGCATATTATACTCCCATCTTAGCTTTTGGTGGGATTCTAATCCTATGGCTTCAAAAGTTTAGCACCAGTGTTTGTAATCATCCAAGCAGTAATTGTATCAGCAAGCAAATCTAACTCCTTTGAATTATTTGCACGAAGAGTTGGAGAGTCTACACCTAGTGAATTACCTACTTCTTTAGCAACTGCTTCCCATGGTGTCCCTGCAGTTAAATTTGCAAATAGCTCTCCACCCCTGTTTACAGCATCCACCATTCCCGGTGGGACATCTGGCAAAGCCTGATCAATGCAAATAGGTTTACAACACAAGATATATTATTAAGTCAACAAGTCAAAGAGAAACAACAACAGACGCCAAACCTGTTGTAAAGGAAGTCCATGATCACCAGGGAGTGAACGAATTGACATATCCAGCACTGAACTAATGGCAGCCTCTGAGCTAAGCACCTGAGCTAGGGTAGACGTTTCATCAATCGTATCATCTTTGAATTTAATTAAAAGATTCCTTGAGATTCCATAGTATGATTTTATCTGCACAACAAATTCATAATCTTTCAACTTTCAACAAAAGGATTTACATTTACATTTACATTTACATTTACGTAATTAATAGATACCAGTCTTCGAGTTTCTTCTGGTTTTGGAGTGAAATTGTCTCTTCCATTAGCCAACTCCATGTACAAAGGAGGAAGTTGCTCAATCAATGGTATAACTTGTTTCATAATGCGAGGGCTAAGGTTCTCCAAGTTTTTTAAAGTCATTTCTGCCTGTACAAATGGAATCAATCATTTTATATAAAAAAAGAAAAAGAAAAAAAGTGTTTCTTAATTGTTATTACCCCAAAACGGATAGTTGGTGATGATGCAATCTGTGAGAGGATTGGTCCAATGCTTTGAGCCATTGGTAAAAGAACAGGTGAGAGCAATGGGACAGCCATGCTGGCATCCTGAAAGACCAGTGATATTATGATATACTAAATGCAATAATTAAAGAGAAATGGATAATAACAAGTAAGTAAGTAAGTACCTTGTTGTTGAAAGCCATATATACATTACCACACCTCTGTATAGCATACCTGGAACCTGATCAATACAAACTTACTTGATTGTCAGTTTGTCACTGGTTCTAGAAAAACAAAAAAAGAAAAAAGAAAAATAACCAATCAAAAGGTGGATGACGGATCCTAGAGAGTGTCCAATTCCAAAAGATGGAAGATCCCTCACCTATATTATATGTATAGCAACCTTAATTCAGGCAAAAGAAAATGGAAACAAACTTTATATACATAAAAGAAAACACTCACTGTTTCGTGTAGAGCCCTAAGACACCTGTCAAATTTGAACTGAACTTCGTCTGCTATGAAGAAGTGGTCAAAGCCACTAGCATAAGGTGTTGCAATTACCAATGCACCCCTGGACAACAACAAGAAGAATAAATGTTATCAAAATAATTCTTTTATCATTTATGTTTAATGAATATAATAATAAGAGCAGTTACCTCTCTGAAAGGTGTTCCAGAAATAATCGATAAGTGAGCTGAGGGGCTGCCCCAACAAATATGCCACCAACAAAATGCACAACAGATGTTGGCTCTAAATTTCTTGGTTTTAATACCCAGGCTCCCTGAAATTGTATAAATAATAACCCAAATAAATTATCATAGGTGACACTAAAATCACCATCAGTTACATTTAATTCTCTAGTTAATTAGTAGTATTATTCATATAATACAACAAAAGAAGTTCATTTGTTCTGCATCGAAAGTTATGTTCAACCAAAAAAGTTTGGATTAACTGTAAATAAAGATACTATCTGGCAAAAGAACCAGATGAGGTTGGGTTTTTAAAACAATGGAAGGTGGAGGTTAATATGCAGTAAAAGTTACTTCTATTGGGATATTTATGGTGAATAACATAGTACAAGTGGCTTCAAGTATACATTTGTTGTTGCATCCCATAACTCCGTTTTGTTGATGAGTGTATGCACAAGTTGATTTCATTGAAACTACACAACATAGCCATAAATTTAGTAAAAGTGTCCACATTATTATTACAAGCAGTTATAAATAGAACATGGGATATTGGTTTCCAAAAATAAGCACAAAATTGATGAAACATGAACATTTTCAGTATATGAATCATGTGTGAATTGTTGATTGTAAGTTCTTGGTGAAAAATTGTTGTTTATAAATGATTTATAGTTCAATGTAACAACTAACAAAAAGGGGAGAAAAAGTCCACAAGAATAACAAGTAGAATGCTTATAGGCTATAGCACTATGTGAACTATACCTCAACTTCCTGCCAATCTCTTGAACTACTACCCCACCCACCTTGAGATTGCTTCACAGTCTCAGTGAGTAACCTGCAAAAGCACAAGATGTGTACGGTTATCATGAACACATACTGTGTACATATTTAGCACACTGCACATGACATGAAAAATACACCTCAATAGAAACCAGAATCTATGTGTTTAATTAGATCTAAGTTGCAATTCTTACAAAGGATTCAAAAAAAGTGAAATACATCCAGAGGGTGCTACTAATAGTTGGGCAATCGCTCATCTATTCAAGTTGGTTATATATTTTTTATTCTTTTCTCTGTCTCTCTAAAAAGCTCCCCCACTTCCCTTTCTTTTTCTAAACCACAGTTGGTGTCCTTACAGAATACAGAGTAGAGATGAGATGAAGGAAAATTATGATGATAGGGTTGGGTAGAATCAAAATTCAAAAAGACCTGCAGTGCATACCTCTCGATCTCACTGTAAAGCTGGATTCCAGTTCGTCCTGATTGGTTGTTGCTGTCCTGACCGTTGGAATTGCGACAAACTACCTTAAATCTATTGAGTTTGCGAAATCCGACAGATGACTGAGAATAATGATGAATACCATGTAATCGGACGTGACTCCGGCACAATTTAGACTCAACTTGTGGAGAGGCTAATTGCCAATGCGGCATCCACACGCAGGTAGCCATGCCTATGGACCATCAGAACCAAGAACGTGAACTTTAAATATGATCAAACAAATTTTAGGGTTCAAATTCAGAGCTCCAAAATCGAATTCAAGGATTCATTTACAAATTTGACCCATGTATCTACAACTAACAACGAATTGAGTAATTGAACAACTTATGGAGCTCTAAGTAACAAGAATTATGAGAATTAGGAATAGAAATTACTTGGAATTAGAGAAAATATGACCTAATCTCCAGAGCATCAGTCGTCGGAGTAACTATTGGAGAACTTTGCAATTTGCAAACCTCCTAATTCGGAACGGATATTTTAGAAAAGTCCACAAAAAGTGCCGTGCATGCAACAGTTTCTAGACGATATTTTTACGGGAACAACGGAAGGTTAAATCTCGGTGACTAATTCGTTTCCTTAATCATAACAAACAAATATTCTCATTGCATATGCTAATGACTTAAAAGATAATCTATTTTTATTTGTATACAGTTAGTCGTTTATTTTTTTTATCAATATTTTTCCATTAAACTTGTTGAAATATACAAAAAAAAAAAACATCCACCTTCAATCGTAGGTTTAACCGGTTTTCGGTGTATTTGACATCTCGGACGAGGCTCCAGTCATCTTCTCGACAAGACTCCGACATTCATGATTTTTCCGGCGATTCTTCGGGCTATTGTTCTTGTGTGTGTATGTATTCATTTGAAAAAAAAAACTCAGAAGTTCATGTGTATATGTATTCATCTGCAAAAACCCAGAAGTTCATGGATCTGGATTTATTTATCCAAGCAACCATCGATCGCCACCTACTACAACATATTCATCAAATATCATATGAACACAAACCAACGAGAAAAAAATATTCAGATCCAAGCCACCATTTTCTCCCTTTTTAAGTCATTCTTCATCTGCATCTTTTTTTTTTGTAAGTTGTTTCTTCAAATATCATATGAACACAAAATCAGATTCGATGAACACACACATACACATGATCTTCAACCGTGACATCCCTGATTTTACGGCCAGAAAATACCGATTTTGTTTATGCTTTATTTGAAAATTAGAGTATATTTATGAAGAAATATGTTGCAGAATTTGTTCCCAAAAATATGATAAAGAATTTATCAAAGCATTTCCGAAGAAATGTATTTTCATTATATTAAAAATCTCGGGATGTCATTGTCAATACACATCAAAAGCATAAACAGAAACAACATAGGCATTACAACATTTTATTTATTTCTACTGGCCTATAATCCATAATCCCTCATCAGATCATCGCATTATGCTCTTGTGTCACTACCTGTAATACAAGAAATTGAGTGGGTCAGGCTTGGGAGCGTGGTGAGCACATAGGGTTTACAACCCACAATAATTAAGTTTATTAATTTCATCAAATCATTCAACCCGATTACCCATTCCCGTTATCCTCACTTTCTGTCCCTAAAACATTTAATTCAAGGGACCTAGCCTAAGGATCATCGCGATGACAATATTGCTTAGGGGATTCCTCAGCAATATATGTCAGTAAGGCAACCATGAGGGGGATGGAGTACACCGGTGAACACATCGTTCGCAAACACTTACATGTTGCGAGCCTGCCAGCGTTCCACTAGACTGTCTAGAATAGTCCGTG